TGCAGAGAGTGAGCTAAGGGGGGGGGGAGAGGTGGAGCCAAGGCTGCTCCTGCCATCTGGGATTGATGGATGAGTGCTCCTTCTCTGTGTGTGTGCGCGTGTGTGTATTTGAGCGAAAGAGGGGAAGGGAGAGCCCGTTCGCCCGTGCCCCGAGTTCCGCGTTCCGGACGCGCAAAGGCGCGACAGAACCTGGCATCCTTCGCTTGCGTCAGACACAACGAGCTGCTTCCACGCCGCGCCAGCCAAACGCGCCGCTGAGAGATAATGTGCGGGGCAGCTCCTCGCTAGCGGGTTAGCCCAGGCAGGCGGCATGGCTCCGAAGCGGCGAGCGGGGTCAGGCGGCGTGTGGCTGCGGGCGGGAGCCTGCCTCTTGGCCTGGGCGGCCCTTTGCCAGGTCCGGGCGAGCGCTTGCCCCACACCGTGCGCCTGCAGCGGCACCACGGTAGACTGTCACGGGCTGGGGCTCCGCGCTATTCCCAAGAACATCCCGAGGAGCGCAGAGAGGCTGTAAGTGTCGCCGGACCGAGGGGACGCGCCGCCGCACTGGGAAGGCTCTCGGCTCTCGGGGCCCCCCAAAGGGCCACTTGGGAGGCGTTTGATTGCCGCGTTTTGCCGGCGCCTGCGGGGTCTCCGCAAATGCTGCCCGTCGCGCTTCCCCTGCCGCCCCTGACAAAGGAGCCCAGCCGCCCTCGACGCTTAGAATGCCTCGCTCCGGGACGCGCTCGCACGGTCCCGGAGGCGGCCGAGACAAAGGTCCCCCTGGGGAAGTCGGAATGCGGGGAGGAAGTTGGGCTAGACTCGGGCAGCGTCCGATTCCGAGCGTTCCTGTGGGGCTTCGGGAACAATCCCTCCGTTGCCTTTGTTAGGCAGCCGTGGCGCGCTCCCGTGCGGCTCTGCCCCCATCTCAAACCCCCGGGTCTGCACGAAACAGGAGCCTCCCACCCTCCCCTTCTGCATACGCGGGGCAGCGGGTCGGGTCGGATGGGGAGCAGCGGCTCCCGCTGGGCGCAAACTCAGGATCGCGTTTCCCTCTGCGGCGAATAGCGCAGAGATTCCCCCCCCCCTCCCCCGCTAGGCAACTTTCTTGTCCCTCCAGCTTCGTTGTTCGGGGATATGTTGTGTGTGTTTGTGTGTCGGAGGGGGCGTGTGCGTGCGTGTGTGTTTGGTTGTGCGTTGGCAAGGCGGGTGTGAATCTTCTGGGGGCCGGCTGGGGCTGGTTATTTCCCACAGCTTCCCACGAAAACTGTTGTCTGGCGCTACCTCAGATGCGTGGAGCTCCAATGGGGATAACGGGAGTTTTCACCCAAGGCATCCAAAGGGGGCACCAGGATTGGGGTGGGGACGGAGCTACATAGATACCTGCTTTGGGAGGGGGAGTGATAGGGAGGAGATTTGATGGAAATGGGAGAGGAAGAGGAGGAGGAGGAATTGAGACCGGCGTTTACATCGCTGGAACTGGCTGGCGTCACCATATCGCTCTCTACCCTTTTGTAAATGTCCTTTCTGAGTTGGTCGAAAAAGCCTCTTCGCCTGGCAAACGTATCGCTAGAATGTATCTTGGTTGTGTGGAGGCTGCAGCAAATACTCCAGGGCTCAAAACTAAATGGTGCTTGTGGGACGGACTCTTTTTGTCCCTAAGGAGCCTACAAGGCTAAGGGCGCTATCCTCTACACAGTCCCAGTGAGCTCCCTCCCCCCTCCATTCAGCAGTTTAACTAGGGCTGTAGGAAAGCAAGAGGAAACTACTTGGGGAGATAACTAATCCTGTGGCTCAGTGAAACCCATTTGGGCTTCCTAACTAGTTGCCTGAAGCATTTGCAACTAAAGGAGAATCAAGCATCTTTGATCTCTGTTGTTTGTGAAATTCTTCAGAATAAGTTAGTGATGGTAGAACTATTGAGGCTCATTCATAGCAGCCTCCTTTGCTCTGCTGATTAGAATGACCCCAATGTTTCTGCAGCTTGAAGGGGGCGGCTACTTTGGAGGGGGTGCAAAGGGAAGTAAAGGTGGAAGGCATACTAAACAATTCATTAGAAAGTGCAACGCTGGATAGTGCAATTTAAGCAGGGGAGGAGGACAAGTGGGCATGGTGGTGTAACTGCTACTGAGCAGAATGTTGCCTCTCATACTTGGGTTTCTTTTGGTTTCTCTTTGAGAACTAGTTGAAACTCTATGGACAGTTAATGGTTAAAGTCTGGTCGAAAGAACTGATACCCTGGTCAGCCACCCAAGCCCCATGTTGTCCGTTCTTCACTTCCTGCCAGTTCTGCATCCACCCCTGGGTCTCAAAGCTTTCAATCCACCACTCTTCCAAAGTCTCCTTCTTCCCCTCTCACCCCCATGGATTGCATGTCCTGAAGCCAGATAGAGGGTATGCCACTTGGTGCAGTGCATGCATAGCTTGTATAGATTTAAGCACAAGGTAACCTGGTAGAGAATGAAAATGGGCTTAAACATTCCAAGGCAAGGTTTGTATGAGCAAAAGGTGAAGCAGAAGCAAAGGGGAGATACTCCCCTTGTTGGGCAGGGCGATGCTACACCTGACTTGAATGATACAAACAGCAGCGCAATGAACATTTCATTTGATATGGTAGCATTGTGGCATTCTGGTGAGATTTATACTTTGGAAAGTGACTAAGGGTGACTTTCCTCCCTTTGGCTGCCCCCTTCCTAGCTTGAGTTTTGTTCCCTCTGTGCTCATCAAAGCCAGATGTGGGGGTATAATCCATCCTTCTGGAGACTGCAATGAGACAGTCCAGTGACAGTTACAGCCTCCCCTGCCAGGACTTACAGCTGCTTTGGACTGGAAGTAGCCATATTCTAGGATGCCTGGCCTGTTGTGCATCTGGAGGATCATGCACAGAGCAACCCACCCCTCCTATTGTTGTTCCTCCTACAAACCAATTAATGCTCTCAGATTAAGCCTAATTAGGTCATCCGCCTGTGGACACCTCTGTGCACAACAAAGCAGCCTTGGTGAACTCTCCTAGCAGCCCTGCATGATGTCTTCTTTAATGGCATTTCCTTCTTTGGCACCTTAATTGCCCTCACTGAAGTCATTATTATGCCTCAGCCATAAGGAGCTGCTTGGGGAGCATAGATGAATGGAGTCTGCCCATCACTTGGTATGTGCGGGATCCACACATACAAGATTCTGCTCTTAAATGGCATAATACCAAGAATGGGTACCATGCTGTGCTGACAAGAGGCATCTAGTTTGTTATTTATAGTTGCAATGCTGTCATTTCTTGTAACTCTTTTTTTGCTCACGTCAAAAAAAGAGGAAGCAGAGGGGAAATCAATGGTTTCAGGAATATCTAGTGAATTTATGGATAATATGAACACATAACTCCCCCTCCTCCGTATCCTGAGACATACAGGGATTGATAGCACATACTATATAGATCTCCTTCTTTGAAGGGGAATTGTGTTAGGGAAAAATTACTCCTCCTCCTATATCTACTCCTACTATTATAGAAAGTACTGTACAGGTTTTAAAAAGCTCCCATCATCGGACCAATTAAAGTCCAAGCACTTGCTTGGCTAACCAGGGTACTATTCATTCTGTTTGGTCCAACAACTGAAATATGTAAGAGAGAGGAAAATAATCTATTTTAGCTGTTTATTATGCTGCATTCTTTATTTTAGATTTCCAAAGAACCTTTAGTACAGTGCAGTTCATGGAGTGGTACACAGCTATCTGTACAGATATGTTTTACTTTATTATTTTAAGCAAAAGCAAATGTAAGAAGGAGTCAGGTTACTAGACTGCTAATTCAGTTTGGACTGTTTCACATTTTATATATGGAAATGGGATGGCTGATGTAAATTATGAATTTGGTGATCATACATATAGCCAGAAGCAATTCCTGGGATGATAGTGACACTTTCCTGGCTGCAGTAATTGATGCTGGTTGTATCTGCAAATGCTTGCTTGGAAAGTTATAACTTCTACATAAATTCATACGGTACTTGGGAAGAATACAGATGTTCATGCATAGCAGAAAATGCGCTATGAAAATTGCCTTTGCTCTGATGCTTAATGCCTTGCTAAGAATAAAATAATGCTTCAATTCAGAGTTTATGCTTAATGAAAACCAAGGCTTAGACTGACACCCAAACTATTGAATCCTTGATGCTCTCTGAGCTTGGTTGTGTGCTTGGAGACATTTCATTACTGAAGTAGGTAACATCATCAGTGTGAGTGAGTGTGGTGTTTACTCTCTGTTTATATAGAGGTACTTGTCCTGCCTGTTTTAGAGGGATGTGGTTTTCTCCTTGGTAATTTGTTGATTAATTTAATTTAATTTAATTTATTAGATTTATAGGCCGCCCAATCCCGGAAGACTCCGGGCGGCTTACACAGAACAAGAAAAGAAAAACAAACAAAAAATAAAAATAAAAAATTTAAAATTTCTCCAACACGCATACGTTCAAATTGGGGCTGGACCCTACATAATAGGTCAACAGCCCCAGGCCTGCCGGAACAGCCAGGTTTTAACAGCTTTTCTGAAGGCCATGAGGGTGGCCGTGCAGAGCCTTTAGGAGGCTTATAGAGTGCTCCTGGGGGCTGGGAGGGCAGAAATGAGCAAAAAACGGGCCAGGTTTTGCTCGTTTTTGGGCCCAAGACTCCCAGGAGCATTCTACAAGCCTCCTAAAGGCT